CCCTAACCCATGATACTGATGTGACCCTCTGCTGAAATGTCTGCCTCGTGTTTTTATGTGCTTTTCTTGTGCTGAGTCTTTTTTTATATCTCAAGCTGTATCCTGTCAAGGATTATGTGTGAAATATGCTTCCCCCCCTTTTCCTGAATGTGGCTGCTATCTTTCCACAGAGATAAAGGCAGAGCAATAAGTAACTGCCTGGGACCTGGTAAGCCAGGTAACAGGTGGGAACTTGACAACCCATAAGAATGCATCAATGGTAGCGTTCTGTGGCACGCATGGCCTCAGTAAATGCGTTCGCTCTCTCAGTCCCCCCACCCGAATGTATGTGATGTATTATGATAAATGGTTTGTACTGAAACTGAAATTTCGATTGCAATGTAAATTGTAGTTGACAATAAAGATTGATTGATTGATTGGTTTGATTGATTGAAAAACTGCAGGCCTACTAACAAAGAACAAATCATTCACTCTACGTGGTGAGTTTTTCATGTGGCTAAGTTATCATCTGCGTTATTAGGATTTTAAGATAAAATATTCTTCATGTGGTCCAGAGGGGCATTTACTGTTTGTGCAGTCAAGTGCACCAATTGCATTAGGGAATCCATCATCGAAAAATAAAACAATAATTCACCTGTTCCACAGTATAATTTCTGATGTGTAGCCTAATTCTTGTTACATGCAATATTGTAGAGTTTCTCCTTGATGAAGTGGATTTTTCTGTGACCAGGGAAGGTTATGAAAATGTGCGTATTATCCTTTAATGCCAAATTCACACTTCTGATGGTGCAGCAAATAGTGTCTTTGCTAAGAGATTCATAATCTTACTGAATACTAGAAAATTCAGGTATTACACATTTTTCAGGGAGTCTGGGTTGAGCTGGACAAAATGTTCCCACTTTCAGAACAGTTTCATCAATTATGATTTATTTCTATGTTGTTTTTCAACATGCATTTTTAAACTTTACCTGCTGAAAGGGTTTTATAAAACTTAATAGACACAATGAAAGAAAAGAGTAATGCTTACCATACCAGGTGAGGCAAGCCTTCTGTTGTTTTATTGCTGCTTGAACCACAGCCATCATATCATCAGGCATTGTAGGTATAAAAGCACCCTTTAAAATAAAGTACAATTAAACTGTATTTTTCAAATTTTTATTAAAATTAAATTTATCAGTGAAATTATTGATATCCATTGTCATCCAGTTAAATATTTTATCTTTCAGACAATTGATAATATATATTTTTTAACTACTGCCCAAAAAATGTTCAACAAACACTTCTTTGTTTTGTTTTTGTAAAGTACCAGTGTTTGGAAAATACAATGCCCCTCAATTAAATTTTTAAAAATCAAATAAAATTAGTCTAGTAAGACAGTATAAAAGACAACAGAAGACAATTGAGCAATAACAATTTTCAGGAGAGAAAACAGTAATTAAAAGACATATACCTGCATTTTATCAGGAAAAAAACCAAGCTGCTTTAGAGGTGAAAGCCACACATGTTTTGTGGTGAGCAGAATAACAGCCAGGTGGATGACCAGCTCATATACAATATTATCTGCAAGAGTGTGGCCTGATTGGATGGAAAGTGTTCCCAATGTGTTGTTGACCAAGGCGGATGCAAAGTCCCTAATTTCTTTGTTAAACAAAAAGGTTGATCTCTGGATAAATTCATCAAATGCTTGAATATTCTACAGGAAACAAAAAAAAAATAGTAAAATTAAAATGTAGACTGAAATATATGCAATGAAAACTAAAACAATTAGGGACATTTTCTTTAATGAAAAGATATTGTCAAGTCCAAAATTATTCATACTGAATTTTCAACATGAGTTTGAGTAGCGTTGATTAATACATTTAATATTTCTTAGAAACACTTCCAGAATTATTTCTTTTTCATATTAACAATGTTTATCATGAATAATTATATTCTTTGTTAGTCTGAACAGACAGCTGGTGGACATTATGCAAACCATAAAAATTTTATTGTTTAAGCCAGTTACAAAGTTTGTTTTTGTAATTCAAAAGCCTTAAACCCTTGACTGAATTTATATATAGGTATATTAAAATAATTTAAAAAGTCTTTTGCTCCTTAAGAAGTTGCCAAATTGAAAATTTTGAAAATAAGTAAAATTGTTGGTATATATTACGAATTTGTGTCAACACTCAGTGATAACATACACGATTAGGGACCAGTTGTAACGGAAACAAGAGCTTGCCAAATGTTCCTATGGCCTGAATGTATTATAAACGGGGGAATACACATGTTATCTTGACTGTGTATGTATTACAAAGGGTTTGTTGTATATGTGTTATGGGCATCAAAACATAAAAAATGTTCAAGGGATATGATTACTTCGCATACAATATACAGGATGTGTCATACCTCAGTTGTGGGGTGAAGATTCGTATTTGGTGATCTGTACAGAGTTGTAACCTCACGGAAAAGAGCCAAAAGGATAAACACTGTTCGATTTATTTTTGATGATTCACATTGCTAAATAAGCAACAAGAGGAAGAAAAAAAATTGACAAAAAAAATGAAAATGAATGCAAATGGGAGATGATCAATGAACTACCAATGGATTGGTAGTCACATCTAACCAAACGTTTAAAAGAAGATTAAACATTAAGATAGTAAAGAAATACCTCCAATACTTCTTCTATCCGCTCAACTTCCCCATCCATTAAAGCCTTTACAACTGCTTCCCTAACTGTTTTATATTCCTCACCATATACCAGAAAATGGTCGATCAGGCCCCCATCTGTACTCTGCTAATAAAAATGAACAAGGTTCAAAATGCAAAAATAAACTATATAAGTCAAGACATTGTGTGATCATTACCTGTTCTCAAATCATGATCAATAAAAATTAACGATTTCCTACTCGAATACTTGTCTACAAATGGCTTGTTGCATGAAAAGTCTAAGACTGGATGTATGTTCAATAATTTTATGGTTCAGTTTTAGAACAGAGTTCCTAAGCAGAAGGTAATCACATACCTGGTTCTTGATCTCCTCTGGAAAAAGCCAAATAAATACATCTTGTTTAACCAAAGACTGAACACATTCCACACCCTGCAATTCGCTGATCTTACGAATCAAGTAAACACGGTACCAATCATTGTCACTTTCCACACAGAATTTTTCCACTGTGTTTAGAAAGTCACTTGCTTCACTTGGGACAATTTTGTCTGAAATGGTAGGGAAAATTAGATATTTTTCTTACTAATGCAAATAATAAACTGTTACAATAAACAAGGTATGTCTCACCAGAAAGTTTGTTGCTGATTAGCTGGGCAGCCATTGTTAGTATCAGGCGCAACTGGGCAATGTATTGCAGCTGTTGAATAGACACTGTACTTGAAATGGAAGTTACTTCCCTCACACAAGAGCAGAGAAATTTTGTTTCCCTTCTGTAAAATTGTATTTCTTCAGTGTTGTTGTTTCCAAGAGACATCTTCTCCCACATAGCATCCTGCAAAATTATTTCACAATCACTTCAGCTCTAACATCTATTTCCAATTAGCTGCAGCATACTTTTCATTGCAAATTATTTGAGATCTACCTCATTTATCATCAACTATTTGGTGGAACCAAATGGAACAAATTAGGGAAGTTTTTACCTCTAAACAGTTGATATATAAGGTATAAAGTTCTGATTTATCGTCATCATCCACAAATCTGCTGTCTTCAACTGTTGATAAATGCTGCTGCAAATATTCCTGGACTTCATTAAAGCTGAAATAAAGGTGTTGATCATTAAAAAAAGTAGGAGGAGATACTGTGAAGCTCAAGTTTAACTTTGACTTTAGCAAAAATGTAACAATGTTTTAACTTAATTAGCACTAATAGGAAGATGAGTATAATCTCACAAAAATCTTAATTTCTTTACAATTACATTAATTTATATAATGTCAATTACATGGAGAAACATTTTGCTAACTGACCTGAATTTCAGCAGTAGTTTCAGGATTACAGATCGCACCACAGGGTTTTTATCAGGTGACTCATCAAAAGGTGACAAGTGTTTGGTCTGGACCTGTTTATTTTCTGTTTAAAAAACTTTTACTAAGAAATTAGTGACATGAAACGTTTATACTAAAGCTTATAATTTTTATTAGTTGCTTAAACAGTAGACCTATTCATTGTTCTTAGAACCCAACAACATCTATAAATGTCAACATGCAATGCAAAGAAAATGGATAGACATAGAGATACATTTTGCAATGTGACAAATATGAATGGTTAACGAATAAGGTAATCATGACAACATTTTTTGGTATTTTGGTGGAGAAACCTCTGAAGCAATACCTGTCTCAATCCTCAGGAAGGACAACAGATGTGTTATTACTTCTTTGCTTGGTGGTTTGTTGTCTTGGAAGCACATAGTAGAAAGTAGATCAATGAAGAAACCATTGCACCGTTGTCTGAAATCTTCATTTTTTTTGAAAGATCGCCTACAGATACACAAAATGTCAAAGGCTAAACCAGTATTGATGGACACCATATGTATATTTTAGTTTGTAAGCTAATTGTAAAGAAATAGGAAGGGGCAGCATTTCCGTGAAGAAAGAGAAATAGAACAAAACAAAAAAAACAGGGAAAGCTGATAATGTCATAACAGGCAGTACCTATGCTGAATGTTTATGACTTTTGTAGGGCTATTCACTGAACTTAGAGTGTGTCACAATCCTAAGGTGTTAGGTTATAGTTTTAATTGTATTTCTTTGTTTTCCATTATTTTCATTGTTGCTCATTATGTTCAGTAGGCCCTCAATTCAATTTTTTTTTTTTGGATTTGAGATATAGTTCTCTTCCCATGTGTCCATTATTACCTCCGCCAAGGAGGTTATGTTTTTACCAGAGTTTGTGTCTGTTTTTGTCTGTCTCTGTAAAGGATAACTTGAAATGTTATGAATGTATTATCTAATAAAAAGTTCACTCAACCTGCACCTGGACCATTTGGATTCAGGGATTTTTAGTAAGTCCGTAAAAATTCAAAAAATATCCACTGGACTTGGTTTCAAAAACTTGAAGACGTTTCGCCACCTCTCCAGGAAGCTTTCTCAATTCAAATGTCTGGATCCGCAGTGAGTTTGAGTCTTATATAGACAACGCCTTGTATCGCTTG